TAATTCATTCATACCAGGATTGTATCAGAGCTATTGACGGAACACATGTCGACGCACGTCTTTCTGGCAAAGAGAAGTTGCATATATTGGACGATGCAGATCACCAACACAAAATATAATGGTTGTTTGTGATTTCAATATGTGTTTCACATATATTATGGCTGGATGGAAAGATAGCGCACACGACAGCCGTGTTTTAAAGTTTGCTACTAGCAACAGAAAATATGATTTCCCTTATCCACCACCAGGTATGACAATCGTTCTGAGCTTTTGACCATCCTAATTACTTTAAAATTTCTAAATGAAAGAAACCCTTACTCAGGTAAGTACTACTTAGTAGATGTCGGGTATCCTATGCAAAAGGGATATTTGAAACCATATCTAAAGACAAAATATCATATACCGAATTTCAACAGAAAAGGGATATTTGAAGCCATATCCAGATACAAAATATCATATACCTGATTTCGAGAGATCGAGCGGGGTTGCATGAGGAAAGAAAGAAATTTTTAACAAAAGACATTCATCCTTGCGTGGTGTGATCGAGAGATCGTTCGGGGTTTGGAAGAAGAAATGGGTAATTCTACGTGATATGCCAACTTGTCCATTTACAAAACAAGTCCAAATTGTAGTGGCAACAATGACACTACACAACTTCATTAGACGACATCATTCCAGGACAGATGCAGAGTTTGTCGTTATAGAAGAAGCTTCATTGCAAATACGACCTGAGGCATTTAAATACCACGTTGGACGTTCCATCCCACAAATCGATATAGATTCACCTGAGTCACAAACCCCAGATGGTGAAGGCGCTTCAGAGATGGCGGGTTTGAGAGAGAAAATAGAAAATGACATAAGCCAAGGCATTTAGATTTGATTACATATTATGTCTTTCGATTATGTTTAATTATTTTCGTCATATTAAACATACGTTGTAAATGACATCTAATGGTGACATTGCACATATGCTTGGCTCAAAATCATGTCTTCATGACTATGATATTTAAATTTTGAGAATTTTTATCTTTCATGAACATAGTTTCTCAGTTGTTTCTAATATTTAAATTTTGGATTAAATATGAGTGAGGAGAAAATGTGCATCAAAGATGTGATCAACAAATAGAAAGATGAACTCATTTATAATTGTTTATATTAAGTAAGCTGTTTTCCTTCAGAGTATGGTATCAGTTGTTGGCATGAAACCTACCTCGACCAGGTTTTTTTTAAAGAATATTTTGATGCAATTTTGTTGGCATGAAACC